GTATTTTAAGAACAGCATTTAATTCCTATATAACAATGAACACCTATTTGTCATACAGATGAAAAGTCCTTGACAGTAGAAGCATTTTGTATGACTGGGTTCTGAGTCAGAGTATTTGTGCTGTATTCAATCTCAAGGGCATAGAAATCTAAGCAATTTTCTTGTATTATTAATGGAAGTCACTGTATTATTAATAATATGCCTGGAACTAAAATGTAAATTATTAGAACACACTTAAATCTATGTCTATAATACTTGGATGTAACACTGATGTGTTTCTGATATTGTTTTACTGAAATACTATGGAAAATGTCTTCAGGTATAACAACCAGCCTATAAGGACTTACAGATGACAATACAGAGGTATCTTATTAAACAAATGTTTATCACTCACCAAATTAGACTAGGTACTATCTACACAGGGATGATATTCCTCAATTTAGAGAATATCCAGGCTTTTTCTTCTTTCTTTTCTGAGCTGCTCACCTTTTGGATATATCTGTGTTCACAGAACCTTTACCACAGTATACATAAGAAGTACAAATAAGAGGTGCTAAAACTCAAGCACGTCAGTTTTAATTTTTATCATGAGCCTCAGTTGTAAGGTTTGATGGAGAAAAGAAGTGACAGCTCCTGGCCAGTGTTGTTTTGGAGTTATCTACAGATTTCAATTATTCATGCTATTCCTATTTTGTGTTACCACAGAGAGTCAAAGAACTGTTTTTGGTAACAGGATTATGCTGATGTCCAATTGAGTGATTTTCTTTTCCTGAAAGCTATTCTAAAATAGTGGTTCTTAAACTTTTCCACAGTAGTAGGACCCTTCAATTTAAACCAAACTTTGGCAGAACCTTTACAAAATCCTCTAAACTTATCGTTGTTAGAGTTGATTAGCACAACATAAAGTTCATTAAAACAAACAAACAACTTTGGGTGTCTCAGTGTTCCTTGAAGAACAGTTTGAGAATTAATGTTCTAAAACCATACATTTTTAAAGGCCTGGATCAGAATGATTTTACCCGGAGAATAAATGGTGAGGAAATGACAATAATTCTGATTATATTACAATTAAAATAAGCGTATGATTGAATGATTTGGGCTCATTGGCCGAAGCCTAGTGCTTAGAAATGATATTCCTGTGTGCTCTTGTCCATTTCCATGTCCAAATAAAAACAATCACAATAACCTCTAACAATTTATCTAAAATATAACTAAGTAAAAATAACTGGGATGGTTAACTTTCTTGCACAATTCCTTCAAGTCCTTTATGCTTGAATTTCCTAATTTTAGGTTAAGGATTAAATGGATTTGGTGGGGGTGAGGACTCATGGAATCAAATTAGAGGGTGATTCGTTAATTATGGCCAAACTCTAAATTCAGTAACACAGTCACTTAGAAATCAATTCCATTTATATCAGTGACAACTGAAAACACCAAGCATATGATGAAGATTTGCTTAAACAAAACATTTCAATTTCACATGCAATCTAAGAAATGACTGTCACACTGTTTGGAATGTATGAAGAAAATCTTGGCAGAATTGTGATTTTAAAGCTACAAAACTATGATTTTTAAAACTGCACACAGTAGCATTTAAATAAGTAGGACCATTTTCAAGCACTAGTCCATATTTTTCCATCTCTCTCTTGTACAGATATTGTTTCCTCTGCTGGGAATATCACTTAATACACCCACCCACTAAACCAGCCTCTGTTGAAATGCTTACTTATCCTCCAAAGTCGAATTAAAGGGCCACCTCCTTCATGAAGTCTTACTCGATCTCTGTCCTCTTTGCTACTCTTCCACAACATTGAAACTCTTATGGTACCTATGCTTTTCTACATATATTGTAATTTTTCTATGTATCCTTCATTACCAGAATTACATTTTTAAATGTTAAATTATTTAAAAAACAACTCTAAATAACATCAAAATCAGGGTCACTTAGCATCTTACTGATCTTGTGACTAAGAAGCAATTGTTAGTTCTATATATGGGAGTATACTTTTAATTATAAAAGATCTTATGAACTTCTGTGTTATATATTAACTTATATTCAAAATAACAGAAACATAATTTTCCCCCACAGCAATCTGCAGTGTTTACTTATTGCCCAATTGTGAAATTATTCTTGAGAATAAAATAGTTTATATATGAGAATAAAAATACCCTACATTTTAATCATGTGTTCTTTCAAATATATGTTATTTCTGCTTAATGTATTTTTTTAAATTTTCAGATGATTTTCTAAGAGACAAGAAACAAAAATGAAAGTACCACTCCATGTTATAATATACCTTTGGCATATGTTATAGTACATAATGCTAACACTTACCATTATGGAGGACGGTCTGCACTATAAATGGAGACAGCTAAAGCAGTTGCAGAATAGCATAAGATACATAAAGATTTAAAGAATAAATACTATATGAGAGGGTCTATTCAGTTATATAGCTCTATGTTGGTTATAAATTTAGATTTAATATGAAGTTTTTGTGACTAGAGACTGTCATTTTAGCTAAAAGTTGGTATAAAGGATATAGCAATGGAATACATACAATATCCATTCAATTGTTTTCCTTCTGGTTTTTTGCCCTACTTCAGATGACCAGATTAGAGGTTCCTTCTAGCATTACCGTTCTCTTAGGGAAAACAGCGCAATACAGTGGGAAGTGTTAGACTTGATTGAGGAGACACAGGTTTTAGTTCCAGCTCCATCATTTACTAGCTGTGTGACCTTGATCAAGTCCCTTAACTTCAGGAAGACTATGTTTCTTCATTTGTAAAGTACCATCTATTTACAAATGATTGTTGTCAGGAAAGCATTTTGCCAACCTACATAAGTGTGAGTTACATTAAATGCAATATATAAATAAGTTCTCATTTTCTGAACTTCATCACTTAATGTTTATGCTACTCATTTAACATTCAGCATATGTGGCTATTATTAGTTATTTTTAGTTATTATTTATTATATATTTAGTTGTTATTATTAGTTATTTTAACTCTATCTCCCTAAGTAGTTTATAAACTATTCTGAGGTGAAGACTATGCTCTAACCTCAATGAATTTGTCAAATTATCCTCAAAATTACAGATTGTCAGATTTATGTACTGGTATAAGCCATTAAACATTTTGGCTTGAGTTTAATTTTACCCATACTTGATAAAATCAAGGAAAAACATTAAAAATGTCTATGTTGAATATATTAATCCTAGAGACACATATCCTCTCAACAACCATACAGATGCTCAATATTTAAAGGCTTAAATGAGCACAAGACTTTACATGGTCATTTGCGTGTATGTGTCTGTGCTTGTACACTATCTATATCCCATGTCTACCATGCTGCCTCTCCTATTAGACTGTATCTATACTACACTATCTATATCCCATGTCTACCATGCTGCCTCTCCTATTAGACTGGGAGCTCTTTGAGAGCAGAGACTGGGTTTTTTGCCTCTCTTTGTGCTTAGTTCAGTGGCTGCTACATAATAGGCACTTAAATGATATGTGACATGGAGAAAATCTATGGATTTTCAGGTCCATGACAGCAGTCTTGGCTAAACTCTCTATTTCCCCTAGCAGGTAATATAGTGCTCTCTAAAAATAGCTGTTCAATAAATATTTGTTGAATGACTAAATAAAAACCAAAGAATCCATGCAATGAGAAATTAGGGATGGTGGGGGCATCCTAAGAAGTCACTCCAAGAAGATCTGTTAGTTGCTTAATTGTGTATACGTGTAACATGCTATTACTAAATAACTCAAAGCCTAATTTAAAAATCCTTTTACAACCATTTTCCTATTCTCACTTAAGCTTTAGTTTATTTACAAAATACCCAATTTGGAAAACACAACTAAAACTTTCCTTAAAAATTCACTAGCTACAACATAGTCTCATACTCTTTGTACAAGGAAAAAAACTGCTCCATTGTAACATGAAAGGAAAACTCATATTCTTATATTCTAATATACCTATATATCACCCATTATGTAGAAAATATGGAAAAATATTTTGAGACAGTACAAAACTATAGTAGAACATCTGCCATTTCTCTTTTTAAATATTTCTCTTTTAACTTTTTTGATGCCATAAGCTAGACAGAACAGCAAACTAGAGGGCCTAGGATGGGTGGGCAGCCAGAAAAAAAAACCCAACAACTTTAGGGAACAGTGTTACAGAGTTAAGGCATTAAAAACTAATGATAATAAATGTGCTCATGTGGGTGGACACATTTTAGGACGGCAAGAAAACGAAATGTGTCCAGCTAAAATTAAATGTGAATTTTGGGAGATTTTAAAGTTAACTTCAATCTTGCTTAGTTTGGTACCATTTCTACTGAAAACCTCTAGGTGGACAGGCTGTTCTTTCATAAATGGATCTAAAGGCAGCTTTAAAAGCAAAATTAAGAAAAACTAATGCTAACACTTTCCCTTTTTAAATGAGGAAATTTGCTTCCACTGGATGTGTTTATGGCAATAAATAAAACTATATATACACAGTTATTATAGGTATAGTTTATGTATTCAACATGAGTCTTATCTCAATGCAAACAGAAATAGGTTTTCCAACACAAAATAAGACTAAATGTGATGCAATTAAAATACAAGTTTTGGCCTTGGCATTGATTACTGCTTGACATTTTACATGCAGAATTCCTTGGTGAAAAAATGAAGTGGAGATCAGAACATTGACAGAAGAAGAGAATTTTTCATTTTACTAGGAATGTATTTAGTAAGTAGTTTTAAAAGCAGAGTGACACTAGTTCATCTTCAAGAATGTTTTTTCTAGCTCCTGAGGAATAGATATCGGAGTATAGGCACAGTCATCAGATACTCTATCTTTTCTATTTCTTAAAATCAAAATTTTAGCTTAAAACATGTTAAATGTCATAATGCTCTAATTTCTAATCAGACTAGACTAATAAAACACAAAGTGTAAAAAACTATTGCATTGCACATAATTTGCTTCGCTATTTTATTAAAGATTTCTTTACCTGCAGATGGCTGGGAAACACTCTTGAAGTCCCTTCTTTTTAACTAAAGATCCTTCAAGACAGTACATTATAATGTCCATAACCTTTGGGAGGAAAAGCCACAGATCTGACATTATTTTCAAATAATTAATTTCCTTTTTTTCTTTAACTTAACACTTTTAATTTCTAATTTTGCTACTTTTTAGTTTCAATGTTTATGATTTTAAAATGTCTTTGAAATATTTTGTTTTTATGTTACATTTACCAATCACCCGAACAGTGAGAGGTAACAAAGTAACAAAGTAAAACAAGTAACAATATCATTGACCTCATTGAAAGTATGTATAACATTCCACATAGGTAGCCCTCAAAACAAATTTCCTAATTGGCTATATGCAAAAGTATCAATGTCTCATTCTATACCTTAAATCCATCACCTCTTTGTCATGGAAAGCATTGATGTTCTCTAATCATAGATGATCACTGTATTGATCATAATTATTACAACTTTCAAAGCTATCTGCCTTTACCATATTGTTATTGTGCAAGTTATTCTCTCAGTACTGCTTATTTCATTCTTCATCAGCTTATAAAAAGTCTTCAAAATTATTCATTTTCAGAATATTGGTATTATAGTATAAATTGATCTTTTGGTTCTGTTTACTGCTTTCTGAATCAGTTCTTTTAAGTCTTTCCATGTCTCTTTGAAATCTCTATTTTCTCATGTCTTATAAGACAATTCCATCACATTCATACACTGTAACGTATTCAACTGCTATTCAATTGACGGACATCCCCTTAGTTGCCAGTTTTTGTTTTGTTTTGGTCACCACCAAAAAAAGTTGCTATAAATATTTTTTTGTACATATAGGACTTTTTGCTCTTTGTTGGTCTCTCTTGGGTAAAGGAGCTATGTCAAAGGGCATGTACTGTTGAGTAACTTGATGAATATAATTCCAAACTGCTTTCCAGAATGGTTGTATCTATTAACAGGCACATAACAGTTCATCAACATACCTGTTTTCCCATGGAAAAATGATAGTAACATTTATAATTTTCCTTTTTTGTCAGCTGTGCCAATCTTATGAGTGTGAGGTAGAATCACAGTATTGCTTTATTTTATATTTCTCTAATTAGCAGTGATTTGGAGCATTTTTTCATGCGGTTATAGATGGTCTTGGCTTCTTCCCTTGAGAATTATCTGTTCATATTAGATCATTTATCAATTGGATAATGGCTTTTACCCTTATAAATGTGAATCAATTTCTTATATATCATATCATGCCATTTCTACATATAAATTCAGAGAAACTTGCAGTAAAGATTTTTTCCCAGTTGTTTCCCTATTTTACAAAAATTGCTTGAAAAACTGGACACTAGTATGGAAGAAATTAGACTTAGACCAACACTTTACAGCTTATACAAAGAGAGGCTATATAAAAGAAGCATCATAAATTAGGGAAACAGAGAAAACATAAACAACTAGATTTATAGGTAGAAGAAAAGTTCATGACCAAACAAGGGATGAAGAGAATTACAGAAGATAAAATGGATTATATTGATAACGTAAAATTTAAAAGTTTTTGTAGCAGCAAATCTAATAAAGCTAAAATTAAAGAGGAACCCATGTTTACTTTTGAGGTCAGTTATTCATAGATTGTTAGAAGCAGCAGAGAGAGTTGTAATTTATGAAAAGGTAGTATATTTGTTATGTTTTACTTACAAAGATGGATATACATGAGAAAATTGCATTGAAAAATTTAATTTGGTCTAGCTCTAGCCCATAAACTATAAATGGAAATTGTCAGTTACTTGGTTTAAACTAGAAATTTAAACAAGAAAAAAATCTGGAAATGATAGGGAATTCAAACAATGACAACCCCTTCCAGAAGTTGATATGAACTCTAAATGTTACATATGTGCATAAACTCTTTTAGAGATACTAGAAGGAAAATGCAGTTAGTTGCATTATATTACTGCACTGGAATATTTGTTATCTTTTTTATTTACTGGGGAAATCATGATAATACCTCAACAAGAAGATCAACAACATCTGTGGGCATTTTTTCAATAAGGATTTCAATGACTCTCAGGATCTCTCCTTTAGCTCGAGCAAGAGTTGTAGTGTGGATATTTTGCTGTGACTGGGTGTTCGCTGCTAGAGCAGTATGTCTATGTACCTACAAAAAGGACAAGATAATATTATATTAGCCACTCTATTAATATTTCATTCAATCTTATATTCTATATAAGCTTTTGCTTATATATTATTAAACCTTGACAAAAAAAATCAGCAAAACCATAAAAACATCTAGCACATATAGCACCTGAAGATTTGCAAAACCCTTTACAAATATTATTTCATTTAATTCTCATAACAATCCTGGGAGGTAGATGTTATTATTATTCCCATTTTACAGATGAGGAAACTGAGGTAGGTGGAGGGTAAGTGATTTGTCCAGAGTTGCAAAGCTAGTAAGTTTACAAGGAACACTTGCTAGATTTGGATTTAGGTCTTCCTGACTCAACATTTTCTGTGCCACCTTGCTGCCTCTTTGGGTTAGGTAAAGAAGTATTTTTAAACCGCTAATAAAAATCACTAACTTCCAAACTGTACATGGGATTATATGATCTACTAAGAAATATTAATAAAAGATAATTTTTTATACCTATCATTTATAGGGCTTAACATAGAAGCAAGCATACCAAAAACATCCAAAAAATTACAGATTGTCTGACAAAATGTTGAGTACCTTTATTTTAGTATCTGTACATTTCACAAGAGAATGGGTTGGTAAAAAATCTTTCTATGAACTAGTGAAATTATCAAATGTTATACACTTGTAATACATCAATGTACATTACACATGCAATATATATAGATAGATAGATAGATATAGATAGATAGATAGATAGATAGATATAGATATAGATATGCTAGCACATACTAAATACTATTTACCACAGAAGAAAACTGAGATAAGGTAGATCTGTCTTGGATTTAAGCCAGCAGTATGTTTTTTTTGTTTGTTTGTTTGTTTTTGTTTTTTGGGCAATTGAGGTTAAGTGACTTGCTCAGGGTCACACAGCTAGTAAGTGTCAAGTGTTTGGTCTGAGGCCGGATTTGAACTCAGGTCCTCCTGACTTCAGGGACAGCGCTCTATCCACTGTGCCACCTAGCAGCCCTCTTGCGGGATTTAAGGACATGACAAATTTAATATGAACTATAAGAAAGTATCAATATGTTACATATATTTATTAAGGTTAAATGTAAAATAGAAAGTAATGGTGACATTAATCAGAAAACAATATTTAAGTGAAAGTAATAGCTCACTTTTATATAGTACTTTAAGAGGTATAAAGTGTTTTATCAACAACAACCCTCACAGGGTACAGGGTATTATTAGCAAAATAGTACAAGTCCTATGACTCCCATTTTCCGGATGAGAAAAGTGAAGCTCATAAAGGTTAACTGGCTTATTCATAGTTACCTAGTTGCAAAGCCAGGATTTAAATTCCATTCTTCTGATTTCAAATCCAGCGATTTTTCTACTCTATATTACAATGCTCTTTTTTTAAAAAAAAAAAAAGTTGAATCTATCTCCTTGATGGCTCTTCCTATACAGCTTATAGCATGGACCGCAGTTTACTTTGGAGAGGGGAGGGGTACATGGAAAATAGATACAGACAGTGCTGGAAAGTTCCGTGAAACTGCAAACAGGAAACTGGGTTTGGGGTGTGGCTTGAGCAGGGTCTTATAAACCACAAAGTCTCTGACCCTTAGTTTCCTTTTCTGTAAAATAGGTATAATAAGAGCAGGAACTATCTTTTGCATTACTTTTATTCCCAGGCTGGCACACAGTAGGCACTTAAATGCCTGTTAATTTGATTTTACACAATACCTAACTCATAGTGTGGTTATGAAGAAAGCACTTTGTGAATCCTAAGGCCTTAATTATTAGCAATTAAGTAATTAGTAATTAAGTACTTTATTAATAAAGAAGCTTAATTATTAAAATGTAGAAATAACATTATAAATGGTAAAAACAAAACTGTAGGGGGAAATATTTACCAGTTGGTTATATTTACATGTAAACAAGTTCATATCAAACTTGTTTTGTTAGCCTAGATTAAAATGACTGAACCTGATTGTTACCTAAAAGGGCCTCAGTTTCTTCATCTGTAAAATGAGAGGACTGGACTAGTTAATCTTTAGAGTACCCCTGAAGCTCTAATAGGGCAGGTAGGGTGGCACAGTAGATACAGTACTGGGCCTGGAGTCAACAAGATTCACTTTTGTGAGTTCAAGTCTGGCCTCAGATACTTACTAGCTAGATGCCCCTGAGCAAGTCACATAACCCTATTTACCTCAGTTTCCTCACCTGTAAAAATGACCTGGAGAAGAAAATGGCAAACCACTTCAGTATCTTTGTCAAGAAAACCCCAAAGGGGGTCACATGACTGAACATGACTGAAACAACTGAACAACAAATGAAGCTCTAATATTCTGTGATATTCATGGAAATACATTTCCATTGCTGGCTTTGAATCATATAAGCAAAAAGGTTTTATGGGGTGGTGATCAGGGAGCCACCCTCAAAAGCCCCAAGAAGATGTGGGTTCAAGTCCACTTCTGATACATAGTAATATATGACTCTTAAGAAGTCATTCTGTTGAGTACTGAATTACTTCTCTAAGTTACAGAGAGGTACTGATCTAAATTGGTAGAGAAAGTGTTCCTTATCTGAGAATTCCCCCATACCAATGAAATCACAAGTCTAATCCCAGACCTATACTGTTTCCCTCCTCAGATGTGAAACTCTTTGAGGGCAGGGTCTGTCTTTAGCCTCTTTAGTATTCTCAGTTTAGCACATTTTGGAACATAGAAATTGCTTAATAAATGTTTGATGTTTGATTATTGACTGACCTTAACCCAGTGAGCTACTCAGTGAGTGTTTAGGTTCATTCAAAAGGTATTTACTGAGTTTCCATATAGAGATGGCCCTGGGGGTAGACCTGAGTTGAAGATCTATGAATTCACAAATTGGTACTTCTGAGGCTACTCAGTACTTATAAATCTATCTCCACTACCAGAAAAAACAACTCAAAGTACATAACTAACTGAGTAACATCATCTTAGCACATGAAGGACAGCATACTACTTATGAGACAATAAAACCATTTTTAGTATTCTCAATCTTGCCTTCTCTTCGTTTCCTCCCACAAGGCAAAGAACCTAGCAGAGCTTTACTGGAAAGATAATTTATTGTTCTTTCTTTGAATTTGAAACAGGTAGTAACATTAGCCCATTACACTATAGCCAATGTCGAAATCAGCTGATAGTCAACTCTTTAGTTTTGACCTACAGTAGAGGAAAATCAATTAGTAACTTCAGTAATATTTCTGCTTACACATCTACTGCCATAGCAAACTAGTTGATTTTAAATAGGCAATTCCATCTTGATTAGAAGCAAATACTTGGTAAATAGTTGTTTGTATTTCAATTTAACATAATTACTGAGCACATAACTATACAGTACAAGTTATACTAGGTTCTCAAGGGATACAAAGATGAATAATGCATAATCCTTTCTCATAAGGAAATTATAATCTAGATTATTTGAATTTAAGAAGTCTTGAGTTTCGTGGTAGGAAACCAGAACCAATAAGAATTTTTTTTTAATCACTATCTTTGAAAATAGGAATGTACACAAAGCGAAATAAATTAATCAGCTAATTTTTTTCTGCCGTACACATTAACTACTACTTAGCCTTTAGTGTAAATGAGCTTATTCATTCATCCATATTAATTTCTCTACTTTAGCACTGAACAGTTATTATTCTATAAGGTTTAAATTTCAACATTTAAAGACTGAATGTCACAATCAAAGTATTCTTTTGGAGAGAGAGGCTCAGGGATTACTCAAAAGCTCCTCTTACCTCCTTGGCAATAGTTGTGATAAAGGCGGGTGGTCTGGCAGTGGCAATGAGTGAGAGGGCATGTCTTGCAGAGCGGGCGGAGTCAGCTGCTGGACTCAGGGGCAGCCCCATTGTGATGCTAAATGAGGATCAGACAAAAGGGAAAAAAAGAAAAGCATTAGAAATATAGACTGAAAAGATTAGACACAGCTTATAATGTCGGTTCAAGGTCAATGGGAGCGCTCAAACAGTTAGAATATAATGGACTGCCAACAATGAGTAGTGATTAGGAGTCAGGGTGTTCTAGCATCAAATACAAAATCGAATAATTAACCGTGAAGATTGAAAACAGTGTGTGCATCTGTCCAAACTGTTAAAAAAGCCTTGTTAACAAATTATCAAGCCCTAGTACTGAATAAATATCACAAAGCCTAGAACAAGTCAAGAAAGAATGTCTTGAAAAGTTTTTTTCTTTTACATTTTCCTTTATAAAGTCAAAAGGAATATGCATTCGAAAGTCAGCATTTCAGACATTAAAACCAAAGTTCTCTAAATAGCATTAATACTCAGATAAATATCACCAAAGAAATGAAAAGGACAAAACTACTTCTGTCATTTGTGATGTTATAAGATGTTCTAAGTAAGACTGGCTTACCTAGACACAATGCTTAAGCAACCTGCATTATTGTTCTTGCTCAAAATACATGAAGTATTTGTAGCAATATATATGGCATATTAACCCATACTGACATTCTATAGAACAGAAAAGATCAGGCATAAGATATTTTAGGTTGTGGATAAGGAAGGATGCACATTAAAATCAACATCTTCCAAAAATGAAAAAATAAATATCACTAAAAGCTAGTGAAATGATGAAGTGCTGAGTTTCACTGCACCCCCTATCTCTCCCAATCAGTTCTACTAAAGTCAAAGTTACGTATTTTCTTCTCTCTGTAACCCTTACTAATCACAGTGGTAAAGGTATGAATACAAACATGATAACTTCTGATTAAAGAGTTAGGCATAAGTACTCATTAATCATATAAGGAACTTTCTTACATAATGAGATTGGATTTGTTTTCTAGCCTGTAATGTAAATTCATGTTTAAAAAACCATCAGAGGGGCAGCTAGGTGGCACAGTGGATAGAGCACCCGTCCTGAAGTAAGGAGGCCCTGAGTTCAAATCCGGCCTCAGACCAAACACATGACACTTATTATCCGTGTGACCCTGAACAAGTCACTTGACCCCAAGTGCCTCACCAAAAAAACAAACAAGAAACCCATTAGAGATGAATGAAAGATTAAAGAATGTTGCTAAGATGAGGCTTCATTTCTCAAGCAAATGATGCTCACTTTAAATTCTTAGATATTCAAAATCTGTTCTCCCAAATTTATCTAAGGTTCAACATTTTAAACTTTGGTTGGTACCAGAAGCATAGCCATTTATACAGTGTTCTTAAAAAAACAAAAACCTTTTATACTATAATTTTATAATCTTTATTGAAAATGTACTTTTAAAATATGTATAAAACCACATATATTATTACACACATAATTTACTTAACCCAATTAGCCTTCCAGATAAAGATATTTACATATAACACTTACCATTTTACCCTTCAAACATTTAATGTTGAATATCATTTAAAGTGGAAGAGAAAGGAATAAGAGAAAAATTGTGGAGAAACAGACAAGCGCAATTGAGAAAGAAATAGTGAAAAAAGGCCTTTTCTATACAAAGGTATGCTTTTGATTGACTGAGAAACATTGACCCATCTCAAAAAAGTGCCAAAGAAAAATAGTGTCAGTTGACTAACATAAATAATAAATAAATAACATAAATAACATAAATAATAAATAGTGTTAGGTGATTGGCTTCAGCTTGCTCAAACTTAAAAGACTTTTATAATCTGACCTAAAATTAATTCAGACCTTTGAACAGCTTTCCTGGGCTTCACTAATTTTAACCCCAATTCAATTCAATAAGTACTGAGTAACTAAAATAGAATTAGTACTGTGGTTTGAGTGTTTTATTTGAATTAGCTTAAGCTACAGAGTAGGACAGATCCATGTGCAGATGTACATTTTTAAAAATCACATTCCAAAATTATTAAAATGTTTCTGAAATTAGCCATGCTAGTATTTCTGTCTATGAATGTCGATAAACAAGTCTTGACAATACTAATAAAGACAAAACACAAAAGAATAATTTAGTATATGGAATTTATAATGTGTCCAAATATATTTTAAACCATAAAATTTTTTTTCCTATATCAGGGTTCATTTGATGTGTTATATCTAATCAAAGATGCTGAAAATATTTTGTATATTGTTAGTATTCAATGAATATTTGTTTTAAAATCTTCACAATTTGTTTGATTCAGAATTAACTCATTAAGGATAATTAATATTAACATCACAGAAGCTGATAATTTTTAATGAACTAAAGAAACAAAATAGTTGATTATAATAAAGAGCTTTTAAAACAGAGCAACTAAGCAATGCCGGTTTGACAGATTTGAGGTCTCAATTTGGGTAGCCCTATACTGTTGCAGAGCATAACCTATTCATGTCTTCCATGATGAACTAATGTCTAAGATGATCCATAAATTCCCCATAAAGGATCTACCTAACATGTCTGAGCCATTTTTCTAAGTCTTCTCATATGTGGTGGACACCAAGACAGTTCTTGGGCTGCTCACTTGGTACCCCCTCAGTACATGACTTTTACCAAACTGTCAATGGAGTCCATGATACAAGAAAAATTTGCCTGAATTGGAGGAATATGATATGTATACAAGTGAGCAAACAAATTATATACATAACATTACAAAGTACCTTCAAAGGGAAGAGTGCTAATAACTGGGAGCATCAAGAAAGTCCTCATGTAAGATGTGTTTAAAGCTATGATTCTCTTTGAAGGAAGGATTCTGTGAGGTATAAGTGAGCATTCCTTAATATACAAGACAGACCACTTATATTAAATCAATGAGGTGGGATGTGTTATATTACATATGGAGAACATCTAGCAAGACAGAGTGACTGGAATGGACACTGCACTGAGATGGAGTAATATGAAATAAAACTTGAAAGTGGGGAGACAGAGTTAAGGTCTTTAAATGTCCGGCTGAGAGTACATTATATTTTGTCCTTTTGTCAAGAGGGGAGTTGCAGAGGATTTTTTAGTGGGGATGGGGGTGGTCACATGGTTCAGATCTGTTTTAAGAATAGTAATTTGGCAGCTAGCTATGAGGAGGATGGTTTGGAGAAGGAAGAGACTTAAGGTGGGGAGACCAATTAGGAGGTTACTCATTAGACTAGTCTAGGTGAGAGGTAATACGCACCTGAACTAAGGTAGAAAGGAGAAACAGAATTGGATGCAAGAGATGTTGCGGAATTAGATAGACAAAACTTGATAACTGGTTAGATATGCAAAGAGAGCGAGGAAGATGGAAGAAATAAAGAGAATGGGGAAGTCTGGAGGACAGATGAATTTAGGTGGAAACAATGAATTCCATTTTGTACATGTTGAATTTGAGTTAAAGTTGATTCAACTAGAGATAACAAGAAGGGAGTTGGTAATAAAAAACTGGCATCAAGAAGAGAGATTAGGGCCAGATACATAGATTTTGGAGTCATCTACATAAAGATGATAATTGAACCCCATGGGAATTGAGATCATCAAGATAGAGAAATGAGAGTCCAGGATAAGAGACTTCAAGGGCTGCTCACATTTAGCGAGTGGAGAGAAGAAAAATGATCTAGAAAAGGAGCCTGAGTGGTCAGACAGATAAATATGTTGATTGAATTGTTAATGAATGGCTTGTTCAGACACAAACCCCAATACGGACAATATGCATTCTTTATCCATTCGCTTGCTCCTAAATGAACTACTATGATAGTCTCTTGAGTGGCTATGGATCTTCTTGAGGAGGCCTCATATCTACAGGACACCAAAATAACTGAATATTCAGTCAAGTAAATTGGATTTTCCTCCCTACTTTCCTGTCATCTTACAGCAATACCATCTTTTCCTCAGTCACCCAGGCTCTATAACACATAGTGATTTCTCAGTCACAGTCAATAAACATTTACTAAGCACCTATGTGCAGAGTATTCCAACACATGGGTAATGAAAAATGGCTGGAACTGAGTACCAAGGCTGGAAAACACTGGGACAGGAACAGATCCCAGGGGTACAGGAATGGTTGCCATCTGGAAGCTCTATCACACACTACTCAGTTCTGGGTCATATATCCAGGGTGGACTAAGGAAGAACTCTGTATCGAGGGGTGGCAGAGAGGAGTGGGCTCTAGATGTGTATTGAAAAACAAGCTCAGAAACAACAGAAGATGTGTGGCTTTGATCTCTGAAAGAGACCTTAGAGGTCATCTGGACCAAACAATTATTTTACATATGAGGAAACAGGCCCAGAGTAGTCATTCAGGTAGTAAGTGGCAGAGATGGGATTTGAACCCAGGATCCCTACCCTCCAAATCTAGCACTTTTTCCCACTGCATATGAGTGTTATTTCTGGCTAATTCAGACTACAAATGACACTCTAGAATGCTAGCTAATCACATAACCCCCAAGTGGTCAGCACTATCCCATTCTAATAATTTGTTCTTTATTCTCACCTCAAACTTGGACGTAGAATCTGATTTATCTCTCTTCCCTAATCCAAACCCTATCTATCTAGGAGGCAGTATAGTATCACAGATAGATTGCTGGACTAAGTTCATATCCTACCTTAGACACCAAAACCTCTCTGAGTCCATTTTGTCATCTGAAAAATAAAGGTACTTTGTAAGGTCAGCTACTTCTCTAAATCTATGATCCCGTAAGCCTATGCTTTTTCAGGGCCCTAATAAAATCCAATTTCTTCAAAAAACCTTCTCGGAGGACTTGTTTTCTACATTGAGCCCTGACTTCAAATTCTGAAACTCCATTCAAATTGGCCCTTACTCATACTGCTTCAAATTGTTACTTAATTTTCCCTAATAAACTCTGTATCTTAGATATCTTTCTATCACTCAGGGCAACTGGGCATAACAGTTTACAGAGGGCATTGATAAAATGGAGAGGGAACAGAAGAGAACAACTAGGATGGTGAAGGCCCTTGAGCTCATGTCACATGT